CCACAAAATAACAGTAGCAGAGACCTGTGCCCCCAGCTAGTTTTGGATGATAAACATTTGTATCAGGCCAACAAAACATGGGCATGGTAACAATATTTTTTATACTACATTTATCCATTTCAAATATACTAACCTCAGTCATTTGCAACAACTAATGCAAAAATGTAATTAATTCAAAATATCTTTTCAGGACCCCACTTTGGGTCCCGACCCCAACTTTGGGAAACACTGATCTAGAGGGTCTTGGCGGGGATGTGGTTGATGACCTTCTCCAAAAAGGCTCTGTTACAACTCATCTGTTGCAACTTCCAAAGGAGACCTGTAGATGTTCATGTAGAAAAACATGTCACAGATATTGTGACTACACCAACATGCAGAATATTTATCCCACTGATGGACTGACGTGGTGATGATTGAACATTCAACACTAAACACAAAGTTCATGCTGTGCTAAAGAAGCGGGACAGGCAGCTGCAAATATATCTTGGAAACACAACATGACATTAAATAGGATATATATGATGGCATTAAATTTTTTGATAAAAAATTTTGTGACAAGTCTGCTATGCTATGCACTAAGTTCAGAAACAAAAACTGAAATAATTATTTACTATTTCATAATTCTAACTAGGCTACTTTTTCTACTTATCTGAGTACGTGTTTAATACGTTTAACAGATGAAAGTTGCTTTATTTATAGCATCTTTCATTTTCCAGGATGTGTCATATGTTATTTTGCTTAGAATAAATGCATTGTCTTTTAAAAAAATGCATGTCTTGTTGCTAAAAATAACAAACAAGTTGTTTTTTTTTTGATAAATTATTTTGACATATTTTCCATTTAAAATCAGACTTTTGGCAAAAATTACATTTGCCACAGTTTAAATGTTTATGACTCATTTATAAAAATATAATTCTTTATTGACCCTGTCTAGTCTTTTAGGACATCTTTGAAAAATCATCTTCGTATAACCCATTGTTTACCAATAGCTGTTGTCAGAATTACCCGCCAGGTTGTGCCAATTACAAGAAGTGAAAATGTTATCTTACAGTATATATGACCTGTGGACATGCTGGAACCATCCAAATAAAATTACTAGGGAGTGCAACAATGTTGGGCCTACAGACTATTAGGAGGTTGCACTGAGTGAACATGTCGTGAGCTGAATGCTGTTTGTGAGGAGTTTAGAAATAAAATGAGAGGAAGAGTAAAAGTTGGAGAGGCTGTTATGTTAGAAGGAAACCATGTTTTTCTATGGAGGAATATTGTGCTTTTCGTGCAGTGACAGCAGGTTTAAGCTGCAGCCATTCTTAATACATAATGTATATTTGTGTTTTGACAGTACCTACTAGCCCACTACTGGAGTTTTAACAGGGTATTATAAGCTATTAACAAACATTGTGGATTATGATCATATTGTATAATGTGGTTACAGGTGACCATATACCAGTCTTATTTACTTTAAGTGTTGAAAAATTAACTATGCTGTCTGTAAATGATGGCACTGTTAACAAGGGAAGACTGGAATGGTCAGCTCTTTCTAAGGAAGATCTTGCATCCTACCATGCAATACAGACAAATTATTGAATAGTATTCATCTGCCATATGATGCAATTCGATGTTGTAATGGTAATTGTTCTAACATAAATCACAAGAGAGTGATTTGTGGTCTGTATAATGATATTGCTTTGGATGAAAGTGGGAAATCTTACTGCAAAAAACTAAAAATAGGAAAACATCGCACTCTGCCTGGTTGGAATAGGAATGTTGCTGGGTTTCATGAGCTGGCCCGTGAAGCTACCAAAGAGTGGACTTTGGCTGGTGGACCCAGGCAAGGACCTATTTATGAAAATAAAAAGCAAACTAATGCTAGGTATAAATATGCAATTCGGTCAATTATGAGAAATGAACAAAGAACGAGATCAGATTCACTAGCTGGGAAACTTTTAATTAATAATGTCAAGGATTTTTGGAAAGAAATACGGATTCTTAACAAGAATAAGGCATCTTTGCCCTATACAATGGATGGCATAACTGGAACTGATCAGATACTGGAATGCTGSAGGCAGCATTACAGTATCTTGTTTAATTGTATTCAGTCTAGTGATCCAGTTATTGAGGAACATGTTGGTATAGATGAGCATATGGTTATTATGACACGTGAGGTATTTCAGGCCATATAACAGTTGCCTGGTGATAAAGCATGTGGTCTTGATGGCGTGTATGCTGAGCAGTTGAAGCATGCCAGTTTTAGACTAGCTCCTCTCCTGGCTTTATGCTTTTCCAGTTTTTTTGGTACATGGTGTGCTGCCTGACTCTCTCTTGTCTATCGTTTTGGTCCCTGTGATTAARGACAAAGCTGGTAGAGTGGGTAGTCTGGATAACTACCGGCCTATTGCTTTAGCAAGTATTTTGTCCAAGGTTTTGGAAAAKATCTTGTTAAATAGGATTCAAGGGTTAATTAGTTTCTGATAATCAGTTTGGATTTAAAAMAAAACATAGCACAGATCTATGCCTTTTTGCTTTGAAAGAAACAATAAGGAAATATATATGAGCCCAAACTCTTCTGTTCTTATGTGTTTTGTTGATGCATCAAAGGCATTTGATCACATAAATCATAAGAAGCTATTTGCTAAGATGTATCAGCGAGRCGTCCCCAGGCACACAGTGAGAATATTAGTTTATTGGTATTCTCACCAGGTGATGCAGGTGAGATGGGGAGGTAATGTGTCAGCCTCATTTGGGGTCAGTAATGGTGTGCAGCACGGTGGGATTTTATCGCCTGCTCTTTTTAATCTTTTTATGGATGATCTGTCACAGAGACTAAATGCATGTAAAACTGGTTGTGCTATTGGTTTTACCCTTGTAAATCTTTTGATGTACGCAGATGATCTTGTTGTATTCAGTTCCAGTAGTGTAGGACTCCAAGAACCTTTAAATATTTGTCCCGAGTATGGCATGGAACATGATAAAATATATAATGCCAGTAAAAGTGTTGTCTAAAAGCACAAGGATGACACWGTCACCAGAGTCAGTAGCTAAAAGAATATCATTAAAAACTTTTACAAGAGCTGATTCAGTGCTGTGGAGAGTTTTAAAACCAGATTGGAAAACCTCGAGGATACCATGCTCTTCAAGAAAACCAAGTAATTGATTATACACAATTTTCTCAAGGACTTTGGAAATGAAAGGTTTGGAAATTGGCCTAAAATTAACAAAATTAGTGGTGTCCAGTCCAGGTTTTTTAATGAGAGGTTGCACCACTGCATGTTTAAAATGATCAGGGACCACACCAGAGGACAGACTACTATTAATGAGTTCAAGACAAAATGGTCCTAGTGTTAAAAAATAAGCAGTGTCCGTTACCC